CATCGCTTCCATTTCCACATGTTGGAAGGCGGGGTGACCTCGCTTCATACTTTGAAGTCGTTAGCAACTGTATTCCCCGCTTCAGAGTCCAAATTTGTATGGGCCGTTGAGAACACTCTGGATGTGGATGGCAATCTGCTCAAGGCCAAAAGATCCGTCAGTAATGAGCCTGAAGTTCTTGTGTCGCAGCTGGAAGCAATTGCCAGGGCAATGCCAGAGTATTCAGATTCTCGCGGCCTCGGAAGCAGCTCTTGGAATCAATTTGTTGGTTGCCTTCGGTCACCGCGCGTGCGTGTAGCTGATCTGAAAGTAACTCATCACATAGAGGACATAGAGGTGGTCCTAAAAGAGTTGGCTTCGAGACACAAGGGCACGGCCGAGCAGCTTCTTAAGAAGCTCTCCGATTTGGCTTATGTGCCTTGCCAGAGTGATGGACCTACAACATTGCTTTTCAGCCCAAAGCATGCCGCCTGCTCATCAGCCCAAGGCCCTCGCAAATTGTTGCCGGCTTTTGGGGTTGTGCTGCCGCAGATTCAACAGCTGGCTTGGGCAACAGGCACCCCAAAGTGGATGCACGTTGAAGCTTTGGTGGACGCCATCCCATGCTTCGGCATGGACTTGGCCATTGCCCTTTGTGCAGAGCTGGCAGAACAGGCAGATGTGGAAGGGTTTGCGCGTTCTCTCAGAAGGTTGAAGGTACCAACCAACAGCAAACAATTTTTGCCAATTGAACATGTGTACATCAACGATGCGCAGTGGAAAGGAGCTGGTGACGTTCAGACGTTGGACGATCGTATCTCCCATGACCATGGGCAGAAGCTTGGATGCAAATCTGTCCGAGAAAGGTTGAAGAAAGAGTGCGAGGATGGTACGGAAGATGAGGATGCTTTCGGACAAGAAGCAGATTTGGTTGATCAGGTGGGCCTCTTAAAGCTGCCCTTTCCTTGGTATGAAGAGTAAGCAGCCAAACCTCCATTGACGACCAAATAGTTTTTACAACGTGTTTGGCATTTGTAATGTGTTGTAGAATAACCATCCGGGCGGCTCAGTCCACAGGGAAATTGTGCACAGCCAGGTGAAGCTTATTCTGAAGGACTACAATGACAAGAGCGATGTGGTCACTGAGTTCGTGCAGAACACAGATGACTTTGGTGCGACGGAGCTCACGTTTGTGCTAAGCGATGAGAAGTTTGGCACAAAGCGGGTTGTGGATTCACGCTGTGCAGCCTTGCAAGGGAACGCCATCTACATTTTGTCCAACAAAGAACTGCGCGAAGAGGATATCAAGCGCATGCAGAGAGTGGGCAGATCTGCAAAGAGCGTTGACTTTGCAAGCACTGGTAGATTTGGCGTTGGCATGAATGTCTTCTACCGATACAGCGATTGCCCCCAGCTTTTTTGCCAATGGTCGCATACATTTCTTTGACTTGACCAGAAACTTTGTTGCCAAGACCAATGTGACACGTGGCAAGCAGTTTAACCGAGGAAAGTTGGAGGAGATGTTTCCAGATAGTGTCCAACCATTCCACTCCTACATAGATGACTATCCGGTAGTGTTCCGCTTACCTTTGCGCACTAGAAAGTCTGAGCTGGGCGAGAAGGTGGAGTTGGCCTCAGTGGAGAACGACTTGCGCGCTGTCTCTGCCAATGCGTTTTCAATGTTGCTTTTTGCCAAGTCTCTTCAAAAGCTTCGTTTTCAAGGCCCACGAGGTGTCGTGACAGAGCACACCGCAGTCATGACGACCAAGTCGAACGTCAACAGCATCAAGAGTTCTTCGCGTCTCTACCAGATGGGCTCAGTCAGGTCAAACACAGTTCAGACAAGGAAGTCTATGTCGCAAAGCGGATCAGCAGCAAGTCCTTCTCTTCGGCGCATGCGCCCAGGACTTCT